TTCAGGCTGGCCTTGAGCTCACTTTGTGGCCCAGGCTGGTCTCGAACTTGGACTGATTCTCCTGTCTCAGCTTCCCGAGTGCCGGGATTACGGGTGTGCGCCACCACGCCCGGCTGGTATGCAAGTTGTTCGCGCACCTAGAAGGCAGAAGTACTTCCAGTCCTGACATCACTCTGATTCCAACCTCACAAACGCCCCCTACCGCGGGTCCTAAACTCCATTTAGCATCATGAATGGCAACATGAAATTCCCAAATAACTATCAAACTTTAGAAGTCAGCAGTGGACTTGACCTTTAGAAGCTCTACCCCAAGAGGAACCCTCCGTCCCCAACCCAGACGTCGGATCCAGCTGTCACCGCACGCAAAGCCACTTCTGGGCACCCTGTCCGTCATGGAGTAGTCCCGCCCCGGCGGACCTCCTTGCACTTCTCATTAGTCAGACTTCCGGTCATGCTTACGTTTGCACCAATCGCCAATTAGATAGGCTGAACTCCTTTCTGGTTCAGGCCAATCACATCCCAGTCCAGGTGCGCGCACCGTCCTCAAGCTCGCGTGGGAACCGAGACCAGAGCGGGGACAAGAACAGCAAGAACGCCCTGGACATGCTCTGAGCACTCGTCTCTGCATCTGAATAAATGGGCACTTTTTAAAAAATAAGTTTTCTACAACTGGCATGCAAAGAGAAAATAAAATGAGAATGGCTAAAGTTATTTAAATATCGACGCCACGCCCGCAGTTCAGGGTCCAGCATCGGACCGGCTTACCGGGGGTCTTGGCCCCGCCCCGCTGCGCCCCGCGGACTCGGAGCGCAGGTCAGGCAGCAGAGGCTGCAGGGGTCGCAGGGGCTCGCGAGGGGCCGGGCCTGAGTGCACAAGGCCCGCTGGGGTCCGTCTGCAGGGACCTGGGAGGGTGGGGTGTCCCCTTGCACTCCGGTTGGCCCCGCGCCCTGCAAGCACGCGCTGGCCGGTGCCGGGTCTGCAGGGCCCGGGCTCTCAGCAGCCAGGAGCGTCCCAGAGAAACAGAGGAGCTTGTCGCGGGGTGCAGAACCCTGAGGCCCACAGAGCTCAGAGGCCGTGAGAGCAGCGCGGGGAGCCGCGGCAACAGCTGTGGGGAGCAGCCTAGGGGTCGGGCGAGGCTGGCGGGCGGGGAGGGTGACTTTCCGGGTTGCTGGGACAACTGTTTACCCACGTGGGGAAGGTCGGCAAGTGCAAGCTCAACGCTGCAAAGCCTTCGGATGTTTTGGTTTGGATGGTGCTTCAGTGAGCTCAGCACTGTGACTGAGAACAGTCCTTTTATTTTATTTTTGAGGCTGGATTTTGCTGTGTAGAGAGAGCCGGCTCCAGCCTCTTCCTGGTCCGGAGGAGTCCACGTTTGTAATCCCAGGGAAAGATTATTGGAATTCCAATAAGTAATTGCAATGGGCCACTTCCAGTGCAACCCACAGCGAGAATAAAGAGACAAACACATATTTATAGTCGTGGGCAGCCAAGGGGTCCTAAGTCTAGTCTGAACAATAACTAACTGGAACAAAGGGCTAGACTCCGGCTGAACTCGGGTTTTATTAATTCGTGAAGAGGGGAGTGGCTCGGGGTGAGTGACTGTGAGGATGGCGGGAAGTACCTGAGTGCTGTGAGCTGGGCTAGGTAGGAGGCACAATGCACCTCCGCAATATGCAGAGAGAGGTACGGGGAAAGAGTACCGGATTTCAGATTCTGGTAGCAGGCAGCCTCTAAATTTGGCGGAATCTGCATAACACAGTTTGAGGAAGTATTTTGTGTTGGTGGTTTAGTTTTGACGCGTGGCCTTCATGCCCTGAGACATCATGGCCTCTTTCTCGAGACTCAGTCCACTTAGTAGTTGGGAGTTAAAGGCGGGGCATCACTGACCTGGTGCATTGCTTCAAAGGCTACACAGCAGCACTGGCTAGACCCCTTTGCATTGCTAAAAGCCAGTTGAGGGAGTAAAGTAATGTCCTAGCCAGCTCTGTGCATATCCATACACAGAATTAGGGCAAGGTTTAGCCAACATGGAGACAGTGGTCTCCTTTCAAGGAGAGCTGTCCAGGTCCTCTTTCACAGTTCCCCCTTCCTCTTTTTTGAAGAAGCTGGAGCAGAATCAGCTGTGGCTGCCTTGCCTCTAGTTGTGGCCAGGTTGTGAATCCTCTGTGACACACTTTAATGAGAAGAATTATAAACAAGAGAGTGAGCACACCAATTCCAATATAAAACCAGAAGTGAGCCATGAGATATGCAAATGGATTTAATTGTTCTATCTCATCAGCAAACATCCCAGTCTTTAATTCGGTGTCGAATGTGGCTGTCTGCTACAACACAGACAGCACTTTTTGCTGAAAAGCATCTATATCCACAGTAATATTGTGATGGATTGCTCTTTGTATATGTTTTCTGATCATTCTCCAAGGGTGCAGACTTTTACTGTATGGTAAAGGGATGATACAAAAGTGAGTCGTGGTTTTTTTTGTTTTGTTTTGTTTTGTTTTTTGTTTTTTTCCTGGTACCGGGAATCGAACTTATGACCTTGTGCTTGCCAGGCAGGTGCTGTGCTGCTGAGCTAAATCCCCGGTCCAGCAAGTTGTGTTATAGTGACATTTTAATCCTTGTTGCAATTGCAAACTTCCAATTTCATCTCCCATCCAAAGGATGGAAGTCTGTAGAATGCTTACTTGGTTTTCCAATTTTATATCAATTTTTCGCTGAAATTTCCAGCTCTCATCAGCAGTTCTTGTCCAATGGTCTATAAAGCGAGCAGTCTGCACTGAATGAGCTAACACCGCAGAGCCAATAGCTGCACTGGCCATCAAAAGAACCAGGGGTTGTCCCTGCTATAATTAATCCAATCATCCTCCTAGTGCTGCTGTTAAATCTCTTCATTAAGGCCTCTACCAAGAGGGAAGTAGGCAAATGATACCAAGGCTCCATCAGATTGACCAGAAGCCAAACTCACTGCAGGTTACCCTTGAACTTGTACTCTCTTGCCTCTGTCTTCTTAGTGCTGGGGTTACGGACAAGCACCACCATACCAGGCTAAAACAATCGTTCCATTTTGGCTGCAATCAGTAAGTCCTGTTCACCTGGATTTACCAAGCCACTCCTCTTCCCTTCTCCCCTCCCCTCTGTCACTTCCTGTCCGTGGTCAGTCCTCCCTCTGCATCTGCGGATTCAATACATCCTGAGTAGAAAACATTTTTTAAAAATTACCCTTGTAACTGAACCTGCCCAGGCTGTTCCCTCATCTTCACCTGCGCAGTGCAGTGTAACAGTTATGCACATGTCCTTTCTGTGTCCTAGGCATTGTAAGGAGCCTAGGGATGACCCAGCGAATGTGGGTGGTGTGCACAGGTCACAGGAGGACCTTGTGTCACTCTGCGAGGGGCATGAGCACCTGTGGGTCTGGTGTCCAGAGGACCCTGCAGTTGATCCCTCGTGGACCCTAAGGAACAACAACATAGGCACTCAGGTATATTTTTGTGTTTGGAACCACTTGAGGTTAAATTGCACACATAATCTGCCCCTTTCTCTTCTAATACTGTGTGTATTTCCTAAGAATCAGGGCATCCTCTTCTATAACCTGAGTAGTTATTTCAGAAAACTTAAATAAGTACCTGAATTTAAATCTGAATACACTAAGCCTAAACAGAATACAGGATTTTAAATACA